CTGGTGCACCTGACTGGCAATATTTCAACTCTGGATGAACTCCAATGTCCACCTTGACCATGCCTGCACCCAGGTGTGACAAATTGTGCAACCATTCTGCTTGGTGCCACTGAAACTCTAGTTTCAACCTCAGCTAGGGACTCAGTGCTGCCTGGCAACTTTGCAGTGGCTGCCTTGCTCTCCGAAATAATTCCTTACCCTACTACCCTCTGTCTCGCTTTCAGCAGATGCCCTATTCTGGCAGAGAGGAATTCCTTCCATTTTCCACCACCAAGTCTACATACCCACTTACGGTTTTGCCCACCCCCATCTCTTGCAAAGATAGCAACAGCTTGTTGGACATTTTTCTTTTTCTTTTCTTTTTTAATATGCCTTTATTGATTTCAGAAGGAGGAGAGGAGAGGGAGAGAGAGAGAGAGAGAAATATCAATGACCATAGAGTCATTGATCAGCTGCCTCCTGCACGCCTCCTGCTGGGGATTGAGCTGCAACCCCAGGCATGTGCCCTGACCAGGAATTGAACCACGATCTCCTGGATCCTAGGTTGATGCTGAACTGCTGAGCCAAGCCCAGCTGGGCTGGACATTTTTCTTAAACATCCCTCCCCGAAAACCCCATTCCACTCTTTATATTGCAGCCAGGGTAATCCTTTAAAAACAAAAATCTGGTCCCTGGCCAGGTAGCTCAGCTGGTTAGAGCATCGTCGTCTGAATATGCCAAGGTTGCTGGTTCAGTCTCTGGTCAGGGCACATACAAGAAGCAACCAATGAATACATAAATAAGTGCAACAAATCAATGTTTCTATTTCTCTCCCTCTCTCAAATAAATAAATAAATAAATAAATAAATAAATAAAAACAAAAATCTGGTCATATCCCAGTGAAGAACATTCTAGTTAGTTAATCAAAAGTTGTTGAATATATACTGTATGTCCAGCACTGTGCCCAGGCACTTTTGCCACTGAACAAAATTCCTATATGTAAAACCCTACATTGACTTTTTCTTCCATGTAATATAAAAATAAAAAACCTTTAACGTGCCCTTCAAGACCCCTGCCTACCTTTCAGCATGCCACTTCTCCCCTCACCCTCTTCTATTTGGCCACACGAACTTTTAAAAAATCCTCACCCGAGGATATGTTTCTAGTGATTTTTGGGGAGAGAGGAAGGGAGAGAGTCAGGAGACATCAGTGTGAGAGAAACATTGGTCAGTTGCCTCCCGTATGTGCCCTGACTAGGGATCAAACCCATAACCTAAGTATGTGCCCTGACCCAGAATTGAACCTGCAACCTTTTGGTGCACGGGACGATGCTCCAATCAACTGAGCCACCAGGCCAGGCCCACACTAACTTCTTTTTATTCCTTTAAATTACTGATTTAAGAGGTGCAGTCTGGTGTTGGGGCAAGGATAGTAACTCAAACAACGGAGAGAGGTGGATTGGGATCAGGAGCACAGATTGAGGTGTGGGATGTTAAAGAAAGAGGGATGTTTATTTCTCATGGATGGTCAGGAAAAGAGGAACAGAGAAGAGACAAATTTTGAGGTGGAGGGAAGGGAAATGGAGAGAATTCACATCAAGGGTCTGACAATTTCAGTGAAATAGGAACCAAGGTTGTCTGCTTGTGGAAGAGTGGAGAGAGGGAAGGAGGTGGGTAGCAGGTTGAGGAGTGTGGGGTAGGGAGCTAATGAGATGAATGAGAGTCCTATTAAACACTTATGGGGGCCCAGGTGAGGTTAGTAAAAATGGGGGTGGGGGTGGACTTTAATTGTTCAGAAATTGGGAATAGTGCCACCAGCCCTATTAAAATAAACCTCCCAGATTGTTAAGGAGTGAAGTTATTGACTATTAAAGGCTCTTACTAAGTATACTCAGGCTTGGCATTTCCAGAAAGATTGCAAAGATCAAGAGCTAGAAGTCAATGAAGGAGCTGAGGTTAGACCCAGGGGAACATTGTTAGCAACTAGATTGTTGAGCAGTCACTTTCATTCCAAGTGTTGAGATCTCCCTTCTGAGTCTGGGCCGTGCTCTTCACACTGTTTTTTAGACACCTGCTGTCCCGTGGGATGGATACTGAAGGAGAGGAATTGCTTTTACATCTCACTTACTAAGAGAAGTTGGGAGGACAGCTTAAGCTATTGTAATACTCTGTCCTCCAGCCTGGCCACAACCAATAGCCATTATATAGTAAGTATACCTTTATTCAGACTGTCATGGGTACTGTTAGGTAAAGGGACATATGTCATCAAGTCAGGAATGATGGTGCACACATGCCATGCATGCAGTGGTGTCCATTCCTTTTCTTTTTTTTTTAAAAAAATCTTTATTTTTAATTTAATTTAATTTGATTTTTTTTTTTTTTTTTTTTTTTTTTACTAGTAA